GCCCGTCACTTCATTAGCAGCACATTTAACAACGCTCTGAAATACTTTTACTCAACAACTGACACAAACTCGCCAGACTCCGCTCACCTGAAAGCAGAAAAATCTCTTTGCTGCCCTGGATTCTGTCTCTCCATCTTGCCAATTTTCCACCTGACGGTCTTTTTGACCTTCTCTCCATTTACACACATGCTGCGCGCAAGCACACACACACTTTCGTGCATAACCTTGCAATTCATATCCACACCCTCCCTGTCAAGTGTATGAAACCAATCTCATAACACCTCACTCCACCCCTCCCGCACGCACTCTGGACCATCGAGAATATCATGTGTAGATCTTTCGGCGGCTCGCTAGTGAAGACAAATTGCCGGCTTGTTTGGGGAGCCTCCAGAGAATGATTCATATTAATGGCTGGCTGGCAGTGGAGAGTGGGCTGCATATGCAAACTCCATTAGCAGGTTAGGCTGGAGAGTGTGACCTGGCAGTGCCACCATGAGCTGCGCACACAGGAGGTTCACGATGACGGAGGGCCGGAGGCAAATGAGTCTGATATATGTTGTGTGTACTGCCACTTGGCCGTACATCACTTTATTAATAGTTTGTGTTTGAATTCATCAGCTTCGTTAATATTTATCAAACTGTCATCTCACCTGTGAAATTAAGAGCCTGTGTTTAATTTTCAAAAAAAGCATTTATTTTGCCCCATTTACCTAAAACGTAATTTAGCTACCACCCAGAGTCGACCTACATCAACCTAATGAGTTTTTTTTAATTATTCAATATCATCTGGAATCCACTTCCTAAGTTCCTTAATTCTGATGAATAAATTGTTGGTTTTTATCTGAAGGGTCACACGGGCGGAGAACGTGGTTCGTGTGATGTTTCAGTTCAAGGTGTGACCCTGTGATTGACTGGTGAACTTTCCAGGTTGCATGTTGAGTTTCCCATACTGAGGCCAGAAGGTCAGAAGAAACGTTTGTATAAAAGTCAGTCCAGTCCACCCAGCTCTGGACTGACAGCCCTGCTGCTTCACCACAAGGCCTGCGTTCTAGTTGACAAAAACCTCAGTTTCTCCATCGAATCGACATTCATTCTGCCAGACAGTGGGGATAATAGTAGATCTGGAGAAACTATAATTCCGTGGAGAGACCGATGATGGGAGTCGAGCCAGTAGAACCCATTAGTGCGTGAGCTTTTAGAAACATGCTGTAAACATCTGACAAATAACAGGTAGCAGTAGAAACTGTTCCCCGGAGAATCATCCGGTGAAAAACAAAACTAAAAACGTCTTTTTCATGTATTCTATCTGTAAATATTTTAAATGTACTGTCAGTCTTGTCTGAGAGGTCTCTTATTTTTTATATGTATATATATTTTTCGTTTAACTATAAAAGAGCCTGATACATTTGTATTTTATATTAATCAAGTCGACCCTGATCTTTGTCTCATGTCATTTCTTCTTCCAGTTCTCGTACAGAGCGTTTTCCCTTTTTTTCCCCCTTTTCTTCAAAGTGTTTTTATGCACCAGTTATTTCCTAATGGTATCAGACCCCTTGGGAATAATGTGAAGTGTGGATAAACAAACAAAGATCCTAAAACCAATATGCTATTTACCATTTAGGCAATACGTTTTCCTCTGTGGCACTAATCAAAACCTGATCAACACTTCAACATGTTAAATCATATAAAGTGCCCAGGGTTATTTGGTCTGACAGATACACAATAATCATATTGAATCAACACCGTTTCCTAAATGAGGGGAAATTGACTTAATTCTACAGAGTGTCAAGTCAGAGTGGAACATTTTTGGTTCCAATATTTTCAAAGACAAATGCATCAGTGTCTGTGGGGAACCTTCAGTAAACACCCAGGTCTGTGTGTAATGGCTCGGAGCTGCATGACTGATTGAAGTGACGGTTCAAAAATGAACTGGTAAAATTAAAAGATTACTTCAGGGTTTTTCTTTTTTTTCCAACACGTCAAATTATCCTAATCAACATTTCCAATCGTCTGCTGCTGCCTTCGTTTACAGGATGTTTGCACATGTTGTAAACATTAACGAGGCTGCCACTAAAACGAGTGTTTTTCTGCCTCGTCAGCTCACAAAACACACTTATCCATTCAGATTGAAGTCATTTTCTAACAACTTACTTCACAAATGGTGAAACACACACACACACACACAAGCTTGACTTTGAAAAGGCCACAACAAAATCAAAGACTTAATGAGCACAGATTCAGAGTGGATGCAATAAACTATTACCTAATACACACAAATACACACATACATTTATACATATATTTATATACACTGAGTGTCACTGCACTTCACATTACATAAAAATATATTTTTTATATATATATATAAAAATATATAAAATATCTATCTGTTTATCCATATATATACTGTTTATCTATATATACAGTATGGATGTGTGTGTATATATATATATATACATATATATACACACATATATATATATATATATACATACACACACCGATGGACTAATGAGTTGAAACATTTCCAGACACCAGATCAACGAGACTAGAATAAACTACTTACATTTTTAAATAATTACTGAGACATTTCTCTTGGTGTTCTTATATATTTTTGCCAATTCTAACCAAACTTAAATACTTACTTAGATAGAAACAGATCTAACAAGTCAAAGCCAGATTTATCTGCCTCAGTGTTGGACATTTGACACTAGAAGTGAAAGAAAAAAACCCAAAATGGCCTCAAGAATTAGAGACAAACACACCAGTGATTACCTTAACAATTGTCTAAAAACGCAGACAAATAGATCCGCAGTGCCCTGAGAGTATTCCAGAACATCAATACTGCCACTCTCTGACATAATACAAACAGTGACTTCATTAGGGTCAGTATTAACTAAAGCATGGAGGGAATACACTAACCCACAGAGAGAGTTACACAGTGAAAGTGGAAATCAACCATTGATGTTCTGACCTTTGACCCTGTGTACCTGACAACCAGGAAACCACACATTCCAGCCCTGACTGTCTTGTCATCTCTTGCTGACACCTGGATGTTGTGCTGTTTCTATTTGCTCTGTCTCAGTATGTTACATCCCTCTGTGTCCTTCTACACTGCCAGTGTCTTTTTTTAATCCTGACATCTTCAGATACACACCTGTGTGTCCTCCTGTGATGTGAACAGGTTTATTCCCTTTGATGTGGAGAAAAACCCAGAACAAATACAATGAAAACATCCTTATGGAAATCATTATTTAGAAAAGCATAAAAATCAACAATCTGATCATCACCGACACATCTGGGTCACATATGACTCATTTATTGACAACATGAAACGTCCAGAGGCACATCAGCATATAGACTCACTGAGATGAAATGGAACCTTTCAAGCTTTCAAGGCAACATGATCTACCTGCTGGTTAGAACTAAAACAGTTGTAACTGAAAGAGATTTTCTTCCAGCAGTGCATTACATCATTTACCTCTGAGTAGTCCATACTTAGATCTGCCTTTTGACCGTTGCTCAGTGAAACCAGTGATGTTAGCATACTGTTCAGCTGTTGGAGAGCAGTCTGAAGAGTCACCCTTAGACATGGAGGAAATTGTCATACATGAAAAAACTCCTATCCCAGTGCTGCTCATACACTATTTGTACTTCTGTTCCTCCCTGAGACGGGAGTGACTTACTTTAGCTCACTGCTGAGTAGAAACCACCTTTAAATCACCAAATGCAGAAACAGCTTTTAGAAGAGAGCTGAGAGGAAATGTGGAAATAAGTACGAGTGTGTTCCATGGCTTTAAACCACAAAAAGCACTCAATTCACATCAAACATAAAGTGAACTGCCCAGCGACACTTCTACCGGTATCCATAGCAACGTATCATGAGTGGTCACGCAGTAACACTATCACATGAAACACCGTGGATCAATCTGTTGAATTTTTTATTTATTATTTTTGCTGAAAGGACAAAGTTAACAAACACCACTGACGTGATGAAGCCGTGTCGGCTACAGCGCCCTCTGTGTTCCTTCTGTGCAGCAAAGACTCCATGATCGCTGCAGCTCAGAGTGTGAATGGTGAACAGATGACACCATGTTGACGTTTTTAAAAATTAATTAACCCAGCTTTGTACGGCTTCACATTTCCCAGAGTCACACAGAGGTCACGCTGCCTACAGTGCTGCCCTGATGAAATGTGTTTAGAGATTTATTAGTTTTTTTAGGTCATTACTGATTCATGTAGTTGACCGAACTTTTTCAGTTTTTTTTGGACATTCCTAATGTGTATAGATTGCTTTTGCTGCTTCAGTTACTACAAACGACTTAGTAGAGCAGCGGGCACAGCCAGCTGCAGTGTGAGACGACACAGATCAGATCCGTACCGTCCACACTTGACGCATAAAATGGGAATCCAAAATGTTGCCACACGGCTGATTTACAATTTCTCGGAGTATGTGCGATGTCAATCTCACTGCTTACCGCCGCTTTACTTTCCTGCACTCTGTTTGAACACTTGAATGTCACAAAGGTCATCGACTGTACTGGAGTGTAGTCTCAGGGTACGACCAGTGACCTTCTGAGATAACGCAGTCTACTCCTCATGACGAAGAGCGATTTTTTTTTTAAACACTGCAAATCATTATGCTTTTTAATCGATTTTTTTTAAAGAACAAGGGGAAAGATTAAAACTGTGAAGCTGGAGTCTTATTCTAAACACAAGCTTGCTCTGTGATTAAAAACATCAACTTGCTGCTGCAGCAGCGTGAGGCCGTGCACAGATGGTTTTTCAGAGTTTCCTCATCTCAGAGAGATCAGTGCAGCATTAGCATTCCTGTTTCAGTAACTGTTCCTGCTGCCTTCAATACACACACCCTGACCTTCTGTTGGAGTCTGGTGCCTGTGGTCTCAGTCAGCCTGCAGGCATCACCTGTGCTGTAAATCTGAGGGTGTGATGATAATTGGAGCATATGTCCTGCATTAATGTCAGGTCTTCTAACGTACCGTGACGGTCTTGATGCGACCGCTGCCTTTGGTGCAGGTCCATCCGGATCGGTTGAACAGGAGGCTGCAGAGCTCACCCTCCAGGCACGGAGCCATCTCACACCACTGACGGCTGCGAACGATCCGGGCTGAAAACAAACCACACCAGACCCTGGGTGAGTTCACATTTTTCAATAAAAATACAAACAATAAAATGTGATCAAATGGCCAGCGGACAGACGCAGGCTCATGTGCTGACATGTCAGTAAGCCTGCAGTATTTTAATTAGGGCCTTGTTGAACCACCATGTCTGATTGGCCTCTGGTAATAACCTTTCCAGACCAGCTGGACCAACATAAATTACTCTCTTTTGCAGCTGCACAAAAAGTTTTTTTTCTTCTATTTTTTTATATACTTTTGCTTAAAAGAACTCAACAACTGACTTTCATTTCTTCTCTTCACTGTTGCCAAAGCTAATTTCCTTTAGAACATGTGGAATCGTCTGCACCCATCATCTAGGCCAGTCGTACTATAGAGCATATGATGTGACTGTGTTTGGGACTAGAGCTCTAGACACTTCATTGTTGATCAGAAACAACAGCTGAAAAGGGCTTCATCACCTCGTCTCCAACCTGAGGCTCATTTCTCTACAAAGACACCGTGAGCATAAAAGGAAAAGCTTTTTCAAAAAGCAATCTACACAGTTCTTTTCCTCATAAAACAGACTTTTATCTGAATGGTCGCCTCTTTAAAGGCTATATTAAATCAGGTGAAGATGTTTTTTTCATGTTTAAAATGAAACAGTACCGCCTGTTCCCCAGTCATTTAGAATCCCTGTAGCAGTGTGTTCTCAAAGACTGTTACCAGGACTGAGGGAATCAAAGTGTGTTCGTCTTGTTATGAAGACTTTTCACAAAGAATGAAGAAGAATCTGATTCACAATATTAACACATTAACATTAATGTATGGACAGAATCACACACACTCCACATTCACTACTCCCAACCGTCCATTTACTTATCCTTGCTCTAATACACAGTCGTTACACAGCAGCTTCAGTTTAAAGTCCCATCCAGCTTGGGACTTTGGAGGTTTTTACTTCAGGTCAGACGACCGACATTGGGTTCATCTGCAGCTGACAAGATGGCTGACGTCATTGTTGATTGGAAACTTGTGAGAAACTGTTGACGGATTAATATTGTTGATGACAAGGGCTTCACTGAAGCTTTGAAAGACACTCTCAACACATCCTACAATGTGACATTAATGACTACAGTCCACCAAGTTGTCTTTCTACCCCAGCACCATCCAGATTCTTCCGTCATATTTAGGAATGTTGATTTATCTAAATTCATCGCGACCAATCACGCCTACATACAATCATGCAACTCTGTCATTAATAAGACAAAAAGTGTTAAATCCTTTGACAGCTCTAGGTTTTTTTGACAGAGTACATGAACAATCCTGACTTCAGTAGTGACTGTTTTGAATCCATTAATGTAAGATTATTCCAAAAATGAATCTCATCTGCATTAAAATTTGAATGTCTTTGAATTGAAATCATCCCACACTGTTCAAAACATTTCATTTAGGTCAAAAGAATGGTGACAAATAACAAGAATCTTTACATTTTACAATAGAATAAACAATAAATTTATCCTTTTTTTATTATTCAAAATGTTCCCAAAAGCCCTGTTGGCTGAACAGAACAATGCAATGACTGCTGCGTACACCGATTCCTCAAGAGAGGAATTAAAACTTGGACTTGTATGATTTATGAGCTCCATTTCGTAATCCTGCTGGGTTATAAATAATACACACACGAGGAGCGTGCCAAAATAAGATCACTTTATGAGCCAGAATCGGTACCCAGACCTAACTTTGGACAGACCTGCCACGCTGTTGTTGATGTTGAAGTGAAAGTAGAGTGAGCGTCGACTGGAGGAGCAGGCTCTGACGATTACATCTTTTTAAGGGTGATTTGCTAAATTCTGGCTGCTGTGATTCACTCAGCCGTGGTATCAGGTGTTTTTGCTGAATGTGCACAGCTGAAGCAGACACTACCTGTGGTTCGCCAAGTGAACACCAGCTGACACTGTCAGCCTCCCGCCAGCAGAGATGTGACTGGAGTTTATACCTAGGCTGTGAGCAGAAAACCAGCTTTTATCCCAAAAAACCAGTACCAGGAAGTCAAATCCTCTTCTTCCACTGACATGAATACCTTTCACTAACATACTCAGGGAGCCAGATCCTAAAAATCTATAACAGACAACAACGTTTATGTATAAATGGATATTAATGTATATAGGTTTACGTTGTTGTGGCCATTTTATCAGGTCCTACAATTCTCTAATAAGCTGCTCACATGCCAACAATGTGTTTAGGGAAGAAGACAAGGTCGTAACAAATGAAACCACGGCAGAGATGTAACATTAATGACATTGAACGTGGCACGATTGTTTTTGCAAGTTGAACTTATGCCGTCAGGAATCACAGCAGTACAGAAAACACCCCAGGATACCAGCAAGGTGTACTTACTAAAGTGGCCAGTAGGGCTATAAATTAAATTAAAATTCTAATTCCAATATATATATACACACACACACACACACACACACAGACACACACAGTGTGCCCTCTCTATGTTGCGGTTCTCCTCTCGCAAGATTTATATATATCAGGAAATATAGCAAAAAATTAACTAAAAGACAATATAAAATAATTATACATATGAACGTTTTGGCTTAAAATGTGGATTCTCGTTTTGAAATTGAGGTAAGCCCATTTCGCTGGTAGCTTTGTTTACCTAGACGAGATCGTACACAGCATACTATTGGCTAATACATTGTGTACTCGGTGTACTATTGGCTAATTGAGCATGCTCTTCTGTTCCTCACTCTGATTGGCTCATGTATCTCACTCTGATTGGCTCATGCATCTCCCCTGTCTGTCGGCCACTCCTTCGTTCACTTTGCTCATTGTTTCACCAGTTTACAACTCTACTGTGCATAAAATTGTGTGGGAAAGGCTGATCCAAACTTTTCAGACTCTAAGACGACAGAACAGAAGTACATTTAGGACCAGAGGTCTTCTGACAGTTGTCTTCTGTGGACGTTGGACGGTGCTCTCACTCCCCCTCTGCAGTCTGACCGCAGGACACTGAATTAACATTCTCCTGCAGTCGACAGTGATAAGCTCTGATTGTTCTTTACACAGCCCGCTAAAGCAACACTGAAAGGTTATCAGCTCTCTGCGGACCTGGCCGGGGCTCGTGCTCCTGCCTACCCACGATCCCCCAGGGCGGCATATTGTGGAACAAGGTAACATGGTTGGCAAATTGAAAGAGAGAAACTACAATTTGCTGAATTTCCATGGGAGAGCTGAGGGCACAGCAGAAAGGGAGTGGAGGGAGTGAGAGTAAAGAGGTGTGGAAAGGGAGGGCGGGTGACATTTGGCTGTGAGGTATTCCTGCTCCAGTCCTTGTTAACAGCCTGGAATTGGTCTTTGGAGTGTCAGACCCCGACTGCTGCTCTGCAATAAAGATCTGTCATCGTGTGGTATTTATCAAGCTGGCTGAGCAGGACCTTCATGTATGTTACCGCGCGCACACACACACACACACACACACACAAGCCTACAATTATTGCTCTGTAGATTTGAAGCCATTGTCCTTGAGCAAATAATAGATACTGTTGACAGTCCAAAGGAGAGTCTTCTCAGGCAGAGGAGACGCAGCTGTGGACGGACAGAGTGGTTCCAGGAACCTGTCAACCCTCTGAAGGAATTAAGTCTGAGATATTATTAAAGCTTAATAAAGTCACAAATGGTCTTAACCTTTCACCTGAGCAGTGGAGAGAGAGTGTGTGACCCCTACCCTCCTCCACCGTCCACCCATCCATCAGGCTCCAACAAAGTGTAGATTTATCAGTCAGTTGCAGAGGTGGTTCTGAGTACGGGGGAAGCAAAACTCAATTTCCAGGGTATGGGATAAAAGCTGAGTTGGCAGAGTGGCGGGAGTGCTGACTAACTGAGGAGCGAAGCGTCTTAGCTGCCCAGCGTTGGCCGGGCCGACTGACACAAACGTATTTTTCAGCTGCTGCCACCGTTTCTAGGTCGGTGATACTCTGCCCTCGGTGCATTTCCTCTGCTGATGTTTATGAGAAAAGTTGATCTGAGGTGACGGGATACACATCCAGGTGTAGTGGAGCAGAGTGTGTCGATGATATGACAAATACAACCGTGACCCAGGTTAGCCTTTTGTTTAAAATTAGTTGTCACAAAATTTTTTTCAATGGCGTTACTTCGAACTACAGCCTTTCAGCTACAGCTGTCTGTGACATGTACCGTAGCACAGTAGGACTGTGATTTGGAATGACTTTGAAACTGACGGTTTAAAGGACGCTCGTCTATTCTAGATGCCTGTAAAATATGTTGTAATCGCTTCATGAGTTCATTTGTGATTTTGTAGAGAGTCTCCGTCAGGACTTGTTGTGTCGGGGTGGAATAAATTTACACTAATGCTTTCGTTTTGTTCTATGAAAGTCATGAGTGGAATTTAGGAAGTAAGTTCTCTCTTTGAACTGCAAATTAGACCCATGTTCCAGCACCACTTCATATTAAGAATAATTGTAGTTTGCCAAGTCAATCATGTTAATTAAATTCAATTATGAAAAAAAAACGAGGTAAGAGATTATGCACCAAGCAGACGCAAAACAAAATGCCTCTAAATAACTGAAAATGAAGTTGATTTTTTTTAAATCATTTTTATTTCCAAAGTGTCAAGAGCAGAACATTAATGTTGCCGTTGTATTTTAAACAGTCTACAGAGCTGTGGCTGAGGTAGGACAGTGAGTCTGACACTGGCTTCTTTTAGAAATCTGATTTTATAAATGACTAACTACAGTGAGGGTGTTGTCGGTGCCACAGACCATTGTGTGTCCTCTTTAAACTATCACTTTAAAGTGATGAAACAACTGGCTGTAGTGACAGGCGAACAACGTCAGTGTGTTTGGCTCAACGGTCGCCACCTGGGCGGCCAATCACGTTACTGTCATCGTCAGAGTCGCTCACAGGAAAAGTGGATGTCAGATCTGGGCTTTTTAGCTGCCACCGTCCCCGCTGAGGTTCAGCTCTGGACCTCCAACCAGAT